CGTCGCACATTGAGACGGCCATCAACCTGGCCATCCCGGGCCTCATGCTGCGCCGCCTGCGCAAGGGCAACCTGCCCATTCGCTCCATCATCCCCAACCACGCCGACAAGGAGCGCTTTGCCACGCGTTGCAAGGCGGCCACTGTGCTGCTCTACGACGAGGCCACGGCCGAGTGGCAACCTGAGCCCGGTGCTCCTGCCTCCGTGCTCGGACTGCTCCTGCAGAAACTACGCGACGACGGCTGCCAGGCCTACTACCTCCAAGGTGAGGGCAACACCTAAAACCCTAGACGGGATTGGGGTTCCTCCGCGGCTCCCTAATGCCCCTGCTGCAGGCTATTTCCTCTCCACGCTCTTGGCCAGGCCGGGCGCCACGTCGCCCCTGCCCCGCATCCGCTCTCCGTCCCCCACGTTGTGGGCTTAGGCAGGGGAGGGCGGATCTGTGTCCCCTTTTCTCGGCACGATTTGTGTAGGTAGAGAACAACCGCCCCCCCCATTTGTTTATTTATTTAATTTTTTTCTTTTGACGGGGCTACCATAGTGCCCCGGCTCCAGCTGAGCGCCCGAAAGGAGGGAGAGGCCACCTCCTGGAACCCGAAAAGCGTCAGGGCCTTAGTCCAGCGTGGAATTCATGTCCCTGGAAGGCCAGGGTCAGTAAGGGCACCTTTCATAACACCATCCAACTTCTTGTACATAGGGACTGTTTATGTTGGGGTCTCTGGGATCCCGTCATGGCCCCTATCACCCAGGGATTGCTGCCTTTTGGATGCACTTGGACAGAAGGTTGGCAATGCCCATTTTCATGGCCCGGGTCTCCTGGGGCCCCCAAGTCCCCAGCCTGCTGCCTTAGAGCTTTTGGAATAGAGGAGGCAGCGGCTGGGGGGCGAGTGGCTGCAGCCTGTGTTTCCAATTAACATTCCAAAATGGCCTCTTGCTGGCAGCAGGGCGGGCGGGAGGGGAGGGGAGGCCTGCGGCACCCTCGGGCGCAGGGCCCATGCCTAGCTGAAAGGCGCTTCCCATCTTTCCCATCAGTGTGTATCCCCAGTGACCCTCCTGCTCTTCAGGTCCAGGGCTAGACAACCTTGTGTTCTGAGGGAGGGTCCAGAGAAGTGTGTCTGGGCTCCCTTTCACCAATCTACCTCTGGGGGGGTGGGAGTATAAAAACTTCGGGGGGACTCGGGACCAACCTATACCTTCACACTACCGTCCCCTAATGTGGTTATGGAGGTGGACAACCAGAGACTGTCATGAGGCCCAGGTCCTCTCTATCTCTAACTGACCTAAATGTGGCTCTGGACCCTGTGGACTCATCTATAGGAGGGGTTTGCTGTGTGCTGGTCTGAGGGGGGATTGTGTACTTTTCTTTGCCTCTTACTGAGTACTAATGAGTACTAGGTATGCATGAGAACTGCAGGAGAGGATTGAGCTGGTGCCTGTCCTCAAGTGCCCTAAAGCTGGTGGTATGGCTGAAGTGTTATGGGTAAGGGTTCAGAGCTCTGGCCTCAGTTTCCTCATCTGTGAAGTGGTCATAGTTTAAATGGAAAGAATACATGAGAGGATGTACATTGTATGTTTGACATGACCCGTGTTGCCCTTTGGTGGTATAATGCATGGGGAGTGCTGGCCATCATTGGTCTTATGTGGCCCTTTTGGACTCTCACCAGCCTCTCACCCAAGCCCTGTCTCACCTCTGTCACAGGTGGTTTCAACAAGTTCCAGACAGAGTACTCGGAGCATTGTGAGACCAATGTGGACAGCTCGTCCTCGCCCAGCGGTTCGCCGCCCACCTCGGTGCTGGGCCTGGGGGGCCTGCGCATTAGCTCTGACTGCTCCGATGGCGAGTCAGACCGAGAGCTGCCCAGCAGTGCCACTGAATCGGATGGCAGCCCTGTGCCATCCAGCCAGCCAGCCTTCCCTGTTCAGATCCTGCCCTACCTCTACCTCGGCTGCGCCAAGGACTCCACCAACTTGGATGTGCTCGGCAAATACGGCATCAAATATATCCTCAATGTCACGCCCAACCTACCCAACGCCTTCTAGCATGGTGGCGAGTTTACCTATAAGCAGATCCCCATCTCTGACCACTGGAGCCAGAACCTCTCCCAGTTCTTCCCTGAGGCCATCAGCTTCATTG